CCTGAAGCTTCTGCGGCTCGAACGAGGTACGCGGCGGCCTGCGGGCTGGGGGGACGTCGGAGGAGAGCCGGGCGGCTGCGGTGTCGGCTACTACGGCCCTCTGCTGCTGGGCGGCTGTGGCGGCTGCGGCGGCGCTCGGCTGCTGCGGGTGTTGCGGGTCTCCCCCCCCAGCGAATGGCAAGCCCCGTGGGGCTTGACAATTGGTGTGTAATCCATCTGGTCCTGGTGATCTGAATTCATCTAGGGTGGACAGGTGCTCACCATTTTCTTGCCTATCTTAACTTGTGTTTCTGATCTGTTTTTTATGGTACTGTTTTTGATAGATTGGACTATTTTTTCCCTTTGGGTAAAGACAGATGCACAAAACGGAGTTAAGCAGTTCTCCTTTCTCACTGTTGCCTGTCACCTTCCTGTCATTTTCTCCCACTAATGAACCAATCATTTCCTTGACTTTTTTCTTATTTTTTACATTTTGAAAGAAGCTTTTTTTTGGTTATTTTTTACTTTTGTCGCAAGTCTCAGTTCATTTTGAGCCTTAGCTTTCCTCACGTCATCTTTGCAGGTTCGGTCTATTTGCTGATATTCTGCCTTAATTATGTGTCTTTCCATTTTTTAGATTTGTCCTTTTTGTCTTTCAATTTATCAGAGAGTTCTTTATGCAGCCATGCTGGTTTCTTTTGAGAGCTGTTATTTTTCTTCTTCATTGGTATTGTGCTAGACTGGGCTTTTATAATTTCACTTTTCAGAATTTTTCAAGCTTGAGTTGTTTTCCCCTTGAGGATTCTCATCCATGGAATCCTTCCCAAGCTCTTTCTGTTTATTGAAATTAGCTCTCTTAAAGTCCAAGACCCTAGTTTGACTGTGTTTTATTGCTTGTGCTTCCATAATTTTGAATTTTAATATTGTATGATCACTCCTCCCCCTAAGGTTCCTGTTAGTTCAACACCTATCATTTCATCTCTGTTAGTGAGAATTAAGTCCAATTTGGCTGACACCCTAGTTCCCTTCTCTACTTTTTGGGAGACAAAGTTGTCTGTTAGGTTTGTCAGGAATATGTTTGATCTTCCACTTGGCGTGGAGTTTATCTCCCAGCTGATGTCAGGGTAGTTAAAGTCCCCCATTACTACTGTCATGTGCTTCCTACATACCTTTGTTAACTGACGAGCAAAAACTTCATCTATTTCCTCTGGTTGGGTAGCCTATAGTATACACCCAGGTGGGATTCAGATATGTGAACAACTGGTTCTCTGTGTGGATGCCACTTCCAGAAGTCCATTCTGGGCCTGGGCAACAAAAAATTAGTTACCTGTTCTGCCGAACTGATGCAAACCGGCTGAATCCCACCACTGTATACACCTATGGCAATGTCATTTTCTTCCCCTTTTACATTGACCCAAATGCATTCAAGACAGTTTCATCATTCTTGTGCTCTATTTCCATTTGTGGGTTTCATCCCACCAAGTTTCCGTAATGCCAACAATATTATATCTGCCCTCATTTACTTGAATTTCTAATTCACCCTTTTTATTGTTAATTCTCTGTGCATTGGTGTATAGACATTTGAGTCCTTTTTGACTGACCCTCTGTTTACTTTCTACATAACCTATGTGTTGCCTGAGTTCCCCTACTTCCTTATACATGGTGAAATGTTTGTTCATGTTTGTACAGTCTACAGATATAATGTAATGACATGCCTACTTTATATTCTTCCTTAATGTAGAAGTCATACAAAGGCAGTATTCGCAGGCCTCTATGAAATTAGAAGTCATTAGAAAATTTCCATTATTTTATAGAAATAAATAATGTGAAGTTCAAGAGTTCCTTAAAATAAATTGTTGATTAAACTTCAAAATATGCCTTCAGAAAAATGCTATGAGATGACTTATCTATTATTTTTCTCTTATCAAAACTGTAGGAAATGATATACCTTCCAAAGAGCATGAGGAGCTGAAGTCCTATGTCCATCATTTGCGTATCATTGACAACCAGCAGATGTTGTTTGAGCTTTCTCACAGGATAGAACCCCGTATATGAATTCATACTTATCTATCTCCAGCACTTTCAATTCATGAATACTTATGTGCCAAGCATGTTGTTTTCCTAAGAAATTGATGATTACTGAGTTTTATCAGTAATTGGTGCCACAGTAGACGTTAGCCTCTCAATGCAAAGAAAGAGGATCTTCACAACAACCTTACAAGATGAAAAATGCCAAATCTGCTTAGCTACAGGGAGAAGAAATGATTCACCATATTGAAAACCTTATTTTTCTTGATTTTTTTTGTTCAAAGTAGCTTTCAGCACTCAGTATTAAATTGAAATAAAATGTTCTATCCTTATAAGGATCTAGCAGCACTGTTTTGAGAAAGATGTTCATAATTTGGCGCATGGGGATATACCTCACTAATCATAAGCTGCCCTAAGTGCCAAAAAGAAAGTAGTAGGGCAGGTATTGATGAATTATCCCTGAGATATGGCATCCATTTCAAGATTAAAATGTAAAGTATCAAGAAGTTGTTAGAACATAGATACTTAATTTAAAACAAGCACAGTTAATACTTGATTTAATATCTTGTACAGTATTTCAAAATGTGCTGCCTAATAAAGCAAAATGTCACAGTATCAATTATGGTAATTTTCATGTTGGATTAGGATTTAGAGCACTCTGCCTTTAATATTTCTTATGGGTAAATGCTTTTGAAACTTTAGAGCCACCTCAGTTTTTTGGTCCTTAGTAATTCTATTAGAGGCAAGCAATGTCACAAAAGTGTCCTGTCTGTAGCTTTATTACAAATGAATATAGTTTGTTTTACTTCTGTGTTCACTTTACTATGGTATTACTAATTACTGTTATCTTTAGACTGGTACACGTTTATTGCAAAACAATACTAAATTGGTAAGGAAGAATCTATCATGTGGGGCTGTAGCTTGCAACTCAGAAAACTACAGTGGAATCCCCAGAATTACTTTAAAGAAAGAAAGAAAGTAAAAGTGCTATGGCACACTTACTGCTATTATTATTTAAAGTGGTAATAATTTATACCTATTCAGTCTGATCTCGTTTATCTGTCATAAACATGATCTACAAACAAAAATGAAAAAAAGTTCATACAACATATTAAGCCAAATTCAAACAATTATGGTTTGTCATGGAATCTGACCATAGAGGAATTATACTTTGAGAAACAGCCATATAGTTGTTGTGTTTTCCTTGCAAGATTAAATGCTGAGGTTGAATTCAAATTTACAAGATGAGGAGGTCTCTGACTACCATAAGAGAACTTGCATTGGAAATTAAATGGATGATTCTCAAAATCTGTCTAAGAAACTTTTTTTTTGACAGTTTTCTTTCATCAAGGTGCAATTACAAAAGATTTGGGGGTTTCACACTGACAACAGAATGGATGGATCATGATAATCTATGATTTAAAAAAAAGGTCTTCTGAAAAGAAAGATTTAAAGCCTGTGGGACAAATATGTGAGATAATCACAGATTTGTTGCAATGTATTTGAGTATAATTTGAACATGTGATTTAAAAGTGAAAGCTTTGGTGTAATAAATCTTGTGCCTTGGTTTTCACGTTAAGATATCAAAACTAGACTTACATTCTTGAAATTATGTTTGCAATTTTTTCTAATCTTCAGAATGTCTTGTTTATCCTTATATTAAGTATTCTCAAGAAATTGCCTAAAGAATGCAATAAATAGAATTTATTCCACTGGGTGTAAAGGAATGCATTTCATTGTGAAAATCTATTTATATGCAGCTTTATACAAAATAGACTTTTATAATACCACAAGACTATACTGTTTGACAAGAGAGGCTATGTTAAAAATTAGGCCTCCCTTGAAAACATCTGAATTATTTTATTTTACTGCTTGGATCACATTTATTCAAGAACTTTTGCTACACAAGATCCTTCATAGAAGATTGACTGTTTGTTGGCAGACAAAATCAGTTTTAAGTGATAAGGAATGCTTTTTGTTTGTTTGCAATGAAGTAGAGAGTTCTTCCATTAGATTTGGCCTTTCTCATAAAATTGACAACCCTGCCTAGGTATAATATGAAGAGAATAATGTACATTTCTGAACTGTAATTGTTAGCACTTACTATACTGGTTATCCAATGTCTTCTAGGAATTATTTGGTAGAAATCATTACATTACATTATTTTCTTAGGAAGTTGAACAAAGTTAGAAACAGCATAGATAAATTATTTAGGAATTTTCAGGATGTTTTTCCTATAGCAACTTAGCCGAAGAAGCAATTTGTTTGTTAGCTGAAGAGCAGTTGTTTGGTTTGGCAGTAGGAGTTGTAGTAAAAATATGTTATAAGCCTTATTTTTATCCACACACAAAAATAGCATTTGTAGTGGGAGAAGTCCCAACTGTTGTAAATAAGCTTTCTATGCGCACAAACAAACCACACCTTTAGAAATGGAATTGAACATTTTGAAAAAGGCATTGCAACCTGGCTTGTTTTATAATGCCACAAAAGGGTATACCGGTATGTAGAGGGAAGAATTAGAGCCTGTTGTTTAATTCATGTATTAGGGTGAGCCTCTGTTTGCCAAGTGGTTGAGTTTAAACCTATAAAATAAAAATTCTGCATTTGTAGTTCTAGAATAAGTTAACTGATGAGATTTGCAGGGGAGGATTAGTAGATAAGAAATAATGATAGGTAAGATGAAGTGGTTGGTTCTTATTTTTAAATATTGTCTTGCCTTTACACATCCATTAACAGTTTTGTGTAATTGCAGTCTTAAGACTACAAAAGACTAATAGGAATTCAAATCTTTTCTGTTTTGCTACCATTCTGAAACCTGTTTGCTGCTTTTATGAGCAAGCAAAAACTGGATAATTTTCAAACTTTGTGAGTTGGACTGTCTTGTGCCAGGTGTTGTAAGCAGCATTGCTTGAGTTCTTCACTTCTTCACTTCAGTGGCCTCTTGGTAATTATTTAGCCAAAGGGACCATTCAGAATTATGAGCCAAATATTTCCTAAAAATAAGCTATGGTTAAAACTTGGGTCTTATTCTACTAATGCAAGAGTATATTGCAGTCAACTGGACTTTAGGTAATTTAAACTATATTAAAACAAGGGAAACAAATATGATGCAATAATGTATTACCCGCAGAGCAGGTTTTTTTTTTAAGTCCAGTAACTTCATTTGTTACTTTAGAGCTAAATAACTAGATAATTGCATTTCTGTGGAAGTGCATTCAGACTAGATTGTAAAAATGAACAACTTTCTCTCCAAGGTTATGTTCAGGAAAAGAAAAATGCATGCCACAATTTGGACCAGAAGCCAGATATATAGTGTATAATCTCCATTTTATCCTATTCCTGATACATTCATGTAACTTTCTCCAGGAAGGAAGCCAACTTTAAGACAATGACTGAGTCAGCCTTGAGATCGTTAAGATACACTGTTGTAACAATAAACAGTCCCTGCATTGAGTCTTTTGTGTATACCCTAAGTTTTGCTGGCTTTAGAAGAAGATTAGAATCAAAATTATACAATGTTTCTTATGCTTGAGAGTAAATCTCACTAAACACGACGGGACTTGTTCCTCAATAAACTTGCATAGGATTGCAGCATAAATTGGGTTGACTCTTGGACCCCAAACTGCTATAAGAGCTATGAGCTCCTATAATAGGAGCACAAATAGCAGCAATTAAAAGGGGGGAGATAAACTCTAGAAATATCTATGGAAACAAAAAGGCACTGTTGCAGAATAGAGTAAGACCTTTTGAAGTGTATTGAGCACTATAAATGAACATTTGCATGGCTGTAAAAAAGCAAACAAGTTGTAAATACTAACCTTTGTAGCAATTGCTATTTATTTGCATAGCTTATTTATTATGTTCTTTTTACATTGTTGGAAACAAAGGCACTCTCAAGATAAAAAGAAAAGGCTACTTACATCTTTGCTGCGCAGGTTTGGATAATTGTGATGGCAGCATAAAATAAAGCTGCTGCTGCTAGCAGTTGTTTGCAGCCCTGATATGGTTGGTTTAATTTTTCCCATTTTATTCTCTCCAGACCATTGTGTTTCAATCTGCATTAAAATTAACAGAAAGATTGTCCAAGCTAAGGTTATTTGCCTAACACTTCTCAGGGACACACTTGTACTTACCTAGCATTATTAGAACTGGCACATATAAAATACTCTGGTTTAACAAGAATACAGTTGACAACGGAGCCCTTTACATGTTTAATTGTGTTGATTTCTGTCTAAATCATTGTTTTGCATATTTATGAGAGCTAGCAAGCAATAATTTGTATGTCAGAATAATAACAAGCAATACAAAAATAAAACTTGTAAAAGCAAAATGTTATACTTAAAACTTTTTTTGATATGCTTTTCAAAATACAAATGATATTAATAAATTATGTCTCTGTGAGTCTTTGCTTAACTTGTCTACCATAAAGGGATGTTTCACAGCATGTGCTTGTGCTGTCCTACATCTAATTTAAATAATCATGATGTCCCTGGATGACCTTAGGCAACCCATTGCTCTTCAGTTTTACCCCACCTAGATTAAGACAGTATGGAGGAAGTAATGATAATCTAAAAGATTTAAGGTCCACAGTATAACAATTATGACAAGGGTGCACAAATCATACAGAGAAAGTCTTCTGCTGTTAAGAATGCAGTCCATAGCATATTACCCATTTGCAGCCTTATATATACCCTCTGTATTTCAAATTGTCAAGAGCACACACCAGACCTACATTAAAGTAATTGGCATCTAATCATACAAGCAATAAGATAATTCTTTGCTCACTTGACAAATATGCAGGAAAGTCTTTGTACATTGTAGTATAATCTGATGCTTATTAATGAACAAAATAATTGACAAGGAAATTTACTTTATTTGGGGAGTAATTCATAGGCTTATCAAGCAGACTGAAAATTTTCAAATATTTATAATTAAAGGGATGAGGGCAGATACTGTAGAAAACCTCTGCCTGACACCTTAGAATTAGCAGGATATGGCTGGAGAGATTAGTAAGGCAGCTTCTATATTTCAGGTCATTTATTATGGTCCAAGTAAAATTTCTTCCATTGACATGGG